AAAATTATTTTGAGATTTACCATCGGCAGTAATGACTAGTTGCCCTACTGATTTAGCATTGAAAGCACAATAGATTCTTCTTGCCTCTTCCATTGGATTAAACTGGGAAGACATATACTAGATATAGACCAAGAGTGAAGACAAACAAACATGTTGCCTTTTGACATCTCCTGGTGCTTTTCAAGTTTATGGCTTCATTCTGTCTATAAACTTTACAGGATTGTGTAATGCTTTCTCATTTGTGAACACAGAACACACCAAATGATCACATCCAAGTTCTCAGAGAGGAAATCCAGTGCAGAGGGTGATTTAATATAGGGGATAAATTTTGTTGTGTTAATTTGTGGTTTTAAGGTAAGTGTCCAGAATTTATATCAGATTTAATTGCCTTGTGGCATTTATTCATTCAGACCAAATATGGACACCTCTGAAAACCATCTTGGAATGCAATTACATTAAAGGCTAAGCTATCAAACTCCTTGTATTCTAAATTTGTAACCATGGTAAAGATAGCACCATACCTTTGTGTTCTCCTCCAAACACCACCAATATCTTATTTTAACTTCTTTATGGGGGAGGGAGTGCAAATTGATTTTAAGGAAACACAGAAATGCATTTTCAGAATTTTTCTACATGTGGGCTAAAGGGGGCAGTGCTTCCTCTCATAAAGATAAAGAGCTAAAAACAGTACTGTTCATATGTGAAATAGAAGCCTCTGTGGAAGGAAATGAAAGAAGTGCAGGAAGTTGAAGTCAGATTTATGGTTGTTTGGGCAGGAGAGAAGACAACCTGAGTCCACAGGAGAATGGGCAAGCTCCTGGGGGTATCACTGTTGATTCTGTGGCTTCAGCCAGACTGTGAGTTCTGGGAGGGAGGTCTGAATACAGTAGAAAACCTTCAAGAAACACCACAAGGCTGGGAGACGAGATCATTGGGAAGTTTTGCTTTATTGCGTTTTGTTTTCTAGCTCATGCTGGTTTTCTGTGGGGACTTTAAGAATATAATTTAAAATTTACTCTCTTCCCAAACAGGGGTGAACAGTCAACAGAATGTTGACCAGCAGCAAGTTAAGCAAACTCCATCCCTGAGTGTGCAAGAACGAGAGATTTCTATTCTGAACTGTGACTACAATAATAATATGTTTGATTACTTCATATGGTACAAAAAATACCCTGCCAAAAGTCTTGAGTTTGTGATATCAATACGTTCCACTGTGGATAAAAATGAAGATGAAAGATTCACAGTCTACCTCAACGAAAGTGCCAAACACCTGTCTCTGCACATCGCAGCCTCACAGCCTGGAGATTCAGCCTTGTACTTCTGCGCAGCGAATGCACAGTGCTCTCCAGGCACCTGCAGCCTATACACAAAACTGCAGCTGGGTCCATGCCTCTTTGGGGGCTCATACTTGGAGGCACGTACTTGCTTCCACTTAAACAGAGCAGCAAGAGAGGGTATGCTTTAAAGTAGGTGAGTGGGATGAGCTTTAAGGAAGATCAGATACATAGTAAGTCCCTCAAATGAGTTAAGGATGTTCCTTGGGTTTTAGGGTGTCAAAGAGTTTAATCATTCTCCTTTTTCACTTTCAGAGAGAGGTTGCTGGTTTAACTAAAGCATCAATCTCTGGTGATGCTTTGATCCCGCTAGACCTTGGAATGAGGATACCATTTCCCCTGTAGCTTAGGGGAAAAGATACCCTGGAGATGGGGAAACCAGCATTCTACTGCAAGTTCTCCCAGTGAATGTTTATGCGCCTATACGTACCAGCAATCATGTGCTTCATTTTTGTGTTAAATGAACAAAATAATCCCTAGTTATTGCTTCTGAATCACTGTGCCTTCACATTAAATGCATTTCAGGATGTATATGTTTTAAGTTACATGCATTTATTTGTTTCATCGCTCACAAGATACTTCTAGGCATTGCTTCAGTGAATCACTTACTGTGTATTCTTTTCCCCAGGCAGACATGGAACTATTTGACACACTGTCCATCAGTAAAAGGTGCTGCCCTGTGGATCATCATAATAAATACAGGCATGTCATGAACTTACCAGCTGCAAGCATCTTGTTTTGGGTAGCCATCCTGATTCTCTGTTGAGATGGATGTATCACACTGGAGCCTTTAGGATGCAGTTCAAAGGGTGATGAACCAGGCCAAGATCACCCTAGGACCATAAGAAGTTAGAAGATGTAAGAAATATCCCAAACGTTTATTAATTATAAGTCTCCAGTAGGTTGTCAGTTAATCAAAGATACAAGCAGTTTTCAGCTCCAAACTTAAGTGATCTAAATGGCCCAAGTTACCTACCTGGGATTCCCCTTTCCTAACAAATAAGTGGTAATGAAATGAGCATGATGACTAATAAAAAATATCCTGATGTTTTATATTCTAAGTTCCACCGTCAATTTGTATGAGCTTGGCAATTTCATTAGTCACTCAGGTTCCTGTGAAACATGGGTTAGAACTAGATGAAATCATTTCCCTACAGCCCAATAAGTGTATGATTCCATTCACCTCAAACATTTACTGACCACTGGTTTTATGCTTTTCACTTATGTGATGAATAGAAGGAAATTAGTTAACCTGAATTTCTATGAAAAATTTTCTTCTTTTTAAAAAAATGTTTAGTGTTCATATATTTTTGGGAGAGAGAGAGACAGACAGAGCATGAGCAGGAGAGGGGCAAAGAGAGAGGGAGACACAGAATTTGAAGCAGACTCCAGGCTCTCAGCTGTCAACACAGAGCTTGATGTGGGGCTCGAACTCACAACCTGTGAGATCATGACCTGAGCCAAAGTCAGACACTTCACTGACTGAGCTACCCAGTCGCCCTGAAAAAGTTTTCTTCTTCATGTCATGAATTCTCAGTCTCTTAAATGTAGAATTTCATGCTGAAAGAGAAAAAAAAAAGATGCCAGCTATCAGAATGAAAAAGAGAATTAGGATGAGACATCCATGGCTTTCTTGAGGTAACAAGATACTACTTGTGTAAATAATATATATGTAGAGACTATGTGTGTGTGTGTGTGCGTGTGTGTGTAATATTTGCAAAGGAGCTTTCTCCTGATTCTTCATCACCATAAAGCTAAAGGCGTTCCTGAAATACCTTTCTAAGAATAAAATCTGTGGCCATCCAATGTGGTCCCTGAGTTAAGAAGATATTTATTTATATTACACAAGAGACAGTTGCAATAGTCATTCCATTTGGGATAGGTTCAGAGATCCCAGATCTCTGGACCCATGAGACATCTAATCATGGAGTCAACACAGAGTTCACTGGAGAGCCTACCTACTCTACTGTAATGCAATATAGTCTTATCTTCTAGAAGCCACACCATAGGCTGTTCAATTAAGCACCCACATCTCCTTTGCTATATCTGTAAGCTATTGTTACAATAATGGTGCATAACTCTAAAACTCAGGGGCTGAGGGGCGCCTGGGTGACTCAGTCGGTTGAGCGTTCAACTTCTGCTCAGGTCATGATCACACAGTTTGGGAGTTTGAGCCCTGCTTCGGATCCTCTGCTCCCTCTCTGCCCCTCTCCTGCTCATGATCCCAGTCTCAAAAATAAAAAATATTTTTTAAACAATAAAATAAAACCTAGGGGCTTAAAACAATAAATTATTTCACTCATAAATTTGTGAAGTGAGAATTTAGATTGGACTCAGATGAGCATTTCTTCTGGGTTTGGCTGAGCTCACTGTTAATGTCTGAAGACAGCTCGCTGTTGGCTGGTCTAGAATGGCCTTGTCTAGGATAACTATCACTATTCAACTCTTCTCCATGTGCCTTATCCTCTGGCAGCCTAGGTCAGGCATACATCAATCACGGGGGAGCAAGACTTGAGACATGAAAGCATCGTTTACACCTCTACTTCCATCACAACTTGCAATGCCAAATTGGCCAAAGCAAGACTCAGATGCCCATCATATTATATCACTATATATTGTACATATATTGTGCGTATATATACCTGTATGTATATATGTATATTCCACATATATATATTTCACAACGGCAGGGCATGGCTGGGGAAAAATACATAACATGACATAATATTATGTATTATTTTACATAACACATACTATTTATCTATATGTGTATTCTAATAATTATTATATGCTGTCTATTATTATGAATTCAATTTTTTATCATTTATTTTTAATAGCTTTTCGCCAACCTCTTCCTACTTCTCTTACTGCTCAGCCCCTCACAACCACTTTTCCACTCCTTTCTATGAGTTCAACTTTTTAAAAAAAGATTTCAGGGGCGCCTGGGTGGCACAGTCGGTTAAGCGTCCGACTTCAGCCAGGTCACGATCTCGCGGTCCGTGAGTTCGAGCCCCGCGTCGGGCTCTGGGCTGATGGCTCAGAGCCTGGACCCTGTTTCTGATTCTGTGTCTCCCTCTCTCTCTCTGCCCCTCCCCCGTTCATGCTCTGTCTCTCTCTGTCCCAAAAAAATAAACGTTAAAAAAAAAAAAAAAAAGATTTCACATATAAGTGATACAATGCAGTCCATCTAAATTTCAAAATGTATGGAAATATGGATAAAAGTCTAGTTATTATACATTCCTCTTCTTAACAAAACTATTTCTAACATCCTAAGTCAATAAATCAAATACCTTTTCTTATCTTCAGATATATTTAACATGATTTATAAATTATTCAAATTTAGTTATAAAGTTCCATTACAATGGACAGTTTTCACTCTGAGTGCCATTTATATTTACCCTAGTTCATGTCTATGTATGAGAGAGGCTATAATAAAGCAGTAGATTGATGTATTTTCTACATTCCTAAGACGATATAAAAAGTCATACTAGAAAAGAGAATGCTTTATACAATCTCATCCCTATTATTCTTGTTCAAGCTCTTTATACTACAACGTTCACATTTTATTAATTCCCACACTCATCAGTCTATAGCCTTTTCTTATTTGATACACTTGAGAAGTGACATTAATAAAGAGTTGCTTTCTACCATTGACCTCGTCATGAGTGTGCTAGGTCATCGTGAGCAAATGATCAGCTTTTTAGCATCTTATATCAGGAGTAATTCATTCATACTCAAGTATTCATGAGTAATGCAAGGACAAAAATTTCCAGCTAACGCTGCTCTCAGATTTTATTCATTTGATCAATCAACAATTATTCATTGAGTACCTGCTAAGTTCTACACACATAGAACTTAAAAAGAGCTGTGAGAAAATGCAGAGTATAGGATCTTCTGTCACTCGATTTGTACTCTAAAGTGAATCAAGGACTAAGCTTAAGAAAGCAAAGGGTGATCTGAAGGCATATAGCATCCCATCCCCACCCAGCCTTAGTAGTGAGTCAAAGACAGTGTAGAGTCTGTGATGTGATGCCCAAGCTAAGACAGGAAGTTTAGCAGGAGTTAATCAGGTTGCAGGACAGAAGTGATGGAAGTGATCTTAAAAGTAGGAACAACACATACAAGGCAATAAAGATCATAGTGAATGTCAGGACTAAAGGCCAAGATTATGTCATGAATAACATTATATATTGTTTTATTTATATTTCTCAAACTAACACTGCAAAGCAGCCATAATCTCAGTTTTACAAATGAGCAATCATAATCTTTGTGGGTTTGCCAAATGTGCTCTCTATTGACTTGAGATTCTTATAATAGTTCATTCATTTGACACCCAACATGTGCCTTAGACTTCAACATAGGAGATGCAATCAGAAAAGAAATAGACATTGTGTATGCCTTCAGGAATCATGTAATATTGTGCAGTGTGTTACAAAATAGGGTAATCAAAGCTATCACAGGAGGCAAATAAAATTAAACTACCTAACAGAGTCATTCATCTAAAGGGAAGGCTACCTGAGAGAGGTGACGTCTAAATTAGGACTTATAAAAGCATTCTTCAAAGAGGGAGTCAGGCAGACTATTACAGAAAAAGAGAAATAGAATGTGCAAAAGTATAAAGACAAAATTAGAGAATTACATTAAAGGAATTCAGAATGTCTGGAGCATACAACTCAAAATAGGCAACAGTAAATATAAAACTAAAGCAATAAGCAGAATCCACTTTGTGAAAATAATTATAAGCCATTTTAAGAGGCCTTTACATTATCCTGAAGGCATTAATGAGCACTAAAAGGGATCTGAACAAGCAAATGGTACAGTGAAATGTTACACTATTTAAAATATTCTTCTGTTTTCATATATGCATACATATGTTTATATATAATTGCATACATATTTTTCCCTTGATTTTCCTTTTTCTCTTCATCCTGGAGTAATTCTCTCTCTAACCCAGTAGATTGATAGGTTCTTCCTTACAGCAAGAAAAAGACATATCTTAGATGTAAACTTATTAAAGAAAAGCCGAAATCCATTTTAATCAACATTTCTCAGCTTGGCCACAGGGAAGCATTGCTTTAAAAGTATTCTAGCTAGAGGTATGTAGTTCTGTATGAAGAGTGAAAGAGCTGTGATGTCTCTCTGGTTGGTGGTCCTCCAAAGTTACAGTGTTCTGGAAACAATTGCAAACAGGCCTCACTCGGAACTTAACCGTTGGCTGAGGAAGCCCATTCAGAAGCTGACTCGGTCCACTGGATTTCCTGGGGAGCCAAAGGATGGAGACCCTCCTGAAAATGGTTTTGGGCACTCTGTTGTGGCAGTGGGCCTGGGAGTACAGGATTCATTCTGGGAGAGGCTTATAACAGTGACTGCAGCCTGAGGGCAGGAACTGGGTCATCCTTCTGTCCTGGGAGGGATCGTTTTGAAAACCAGATGCAAGAGGAAATGTGGGAAATGTTCTGTAACTATGTGGTGATGTTTATGTTTTGAGTAAAGGAGGGGAGAAAATCACCCTTCCTTTTATGAGATTGAGGTATCACGTTCTATGTTCTGATCAGGCATGAGAAGCCATGAGACCTCAATCCTTGATCATCCAAGAAACGCAAGACTCAAAAATTTGCAATTCCTCAAAGACTTTATATTCCTAGGGCGCCAGGGTGGCTCAGGCTGAGTTAGTCAACTCTTTTGATTTTAGCTCAGGTCATGAGATCTCAGGATCTCATGAGCCCCACCTTTGGGCTCTGCATTGACAGGGCCGAGGCTGCTTGAGATTCTCCCTCTTTCTCGCCCCCCACTTGTACTCTCTGTCTCTCTCAAAAATAAGTAACTAAAGTAAAAAAAAAAAATGACTTTATATTCTTTAAACTGGTACAGGCAGAAGAGTGGTGAAGGTCCCATCTTCTTGATGATGTTACTGAGAGATGGTGAATCAAAGAGTCATGACAAAATAGGTGTCCCACTGAATGAGAAAAAAAAGCAGCAAAGTTTGCCATACATCATCATGGTGTCCTAGCTTGGTCATGCATATGATATGACTCACAGTCAAGAAGAAAGCAAATAGAAACTAACTTTGGGAGGGCACCTGGGTGGCTCAGTCATTAAGCATGTGGCTTCTGTTCAGGTTATGATCTCACAGTTCATGAGTTCGAGTCCCACATGGGGTGAGCTCGAGCCCCAATTCTGGTGAGCTTGTGCCCTATTTCAGGTGCGCCCTGCTCCTCTCTCTCTCTGACCCTTGCTCACTTGTGTTCTCTTTTTCTCTCAAAAATAAATAAATAAATGAATAAATAAATAAATAATAAAATTTTAAAGAAGAAAATAACTCTAGATGGCTCAAGTTATTGAATTTAGCAGACAAATATTATAAAGTGCTAAGCAATTATGTACAAAGAACTAAAAGAATATATATCCCAAAAATCGAATCAAAATGTTCTTAGTAAGTGAACAGAAATAAAATCTCAGCAAAGAAATGCAAACCATAAAAAAGGAAACAAATGAAAATCTTAGAACTTAAGAATATAAAAACTGAATGTTTCATGAGATGGTCTCAACAGCAGATTGGAGATGGCAGAAGAAAGAACATGGACAAGAATAAAGAAACTGATATATTCACAAAATTGACTACTACTCAGCAACAAAAATAAATGACCAATTCATTCATTAATGTGTATGAATGTTTAAAACATTATTCTAAAGGGGGCACCTGGGTAGCTCATTTGGTTGAGTGTCTGACTTCAGGTGAGGTCATGATCTCACAGTTCGTGAGTTCAAGCCCCACATTGGGCTCTCTGCTGTCAGCACAGAGCTTGCTTCAGATCCTCTGTCTCCCTCTTTCTGCCTCTCCCCCACTCACTCTCTCTTTTTCTCTCTATCAACAATGAATAAATATTAAAAAAAAACCATTACTCTGAAAGAAGCTAGGCACAAAAGAGTACCTCCTTGGTTACTTCACTTATAAGAAATTCCAGAAAATGGCAAATTTAATACAAAAATCATACAAGTGGTATGATTTTTTTCCATCTTGGTCCCCAAGGAAGGCACTGAGCACAGTGGATCATAAGGAAACCGATAGGGTGATAAAAAATAATCTATGCGTTAATTGGTGTAGTGGTTACACAGGAGTATACATTTGTTAAACTCTTTAAGTGTTACATTTGAAACGTGACTTTACATAACTTAGATCCCATAAAATTGAGTTAAAAAATAAGGTGGATAAAAGCTGTTTAGTTTCTACATCTCTCGACAACAGTAACAGTTCTTTCAACTCAAGAGTTAAGTAATTTTTCTATTTTAACTTGGAATAAAACATGAAAGAAAGAGAAGCAGAAGGGGGGGTAGGTGACAAGTAGTATGTAATCAAGTTCAGTCTCAAAAAGCTATTGGGTCCCAAGTCCATCATTCACTAGCTCTGTCATATTAAGCAAGTTTCTGGGGTGGGAAGAGTAATAATTTCTCACAAGTTTCCTTGTGTCTTGCCACAAGGCAAGGATTAAGTAAGATCACATGCATGAAGTTCCTAGAACATGTTAAGTGTTCCGTAAATTTTATCTACTGTTTTTATTGGGCTATTTATTTACTATTTTTATTGTTAACCAAAAGTGGTCATTGCAAGTGAGTCTAGTTTCTTTAAATAAAATTGTGGGAGATGACCAACACGGCATGGTGGTTCCAAGATTTCTTTTTTTAGTTGGGCAGTGTGAGGGGCTGGAGGTGAGAATAGAGCAAAAAAGGTTATTTTTGCCAAATCTCACAGACTGGTTAGTGACTTGGAATCAGGGAAATAACATCTTATCATAGACATGCTCTGTTGTTATAGCTGGGCCCAGGGCAGATAACATTGAATAAAATGGGAATTTTCTTTTGTCTAATGAAATGTAGTTACTTAGATCACAACCAGAAGCCTAATCCGAAATACAGATAATCAGATAAGAGAGTGGACTTCAAAGAAAAGTGTTTGAAAACATGAACTGAGCAGGAAAGGAAACAGAAAAGAATGCATGGCTACCAGTATTATCATGAAATTCCATGTTGTAAAAATATCTATCTACCCCCATACAAGGATGGAGATTCTCATTGGTATTTTAATTTAAAATATTTTTTCTCTGGGGTGCCTGGTTGGCTCAGTTGGTTAAGCATCTGACTCTTGATTTTGGCTCAGGTCATGATCTCATGGTTTGTGAGTTCAAGCTCCAAGTCGGGCTCTGCACTGGGGCAGTTTGGGATTGTCTCTCTCTCTCTCTCTCTCTGCCCTCCCCCCTCTTTTTCGTGCATGCACGCATGCTCTCTCTCTCAAAATAAATAAATAAACTTTAAAAAATAAAATATATTTTTTTTATTTGGGAAAGAAAACACAGGTATTATATATATTTTTTTAATTTTTAATGTTTATTTTTGAGAGAGAGAGACCACGAGCAGGAGAGGGGCAGAGAGAGAGAGGAAGACACAGAATCTGAAACAGGCTCCAGGCTCTGAGCTGTCAGCACTGAACCTGATGTGGGGCTCGAACTCTGAACGGTGAGATCGTGACCTGAGCTGAAGTCGGATGCTCAACCGACTGAGCCAGGTATTATATATTTTTAATGTCAAACCAAATCTGAGAATAAATGTACATGGCCCCCAAATTTCTGGAGAATAACTGAACAGCTTTTTCAGGAGGAAAGCAGCTATCTTAAACACAACCAAC